CAGGATCCATCCATGCTACATCTCGGGAGCTTTACCAGCCTCGCTGAGGCTGGTAAAGATTACCGAGACGTTCCGAGATTTTACAAGGATATTACACGGAGGTACTTTCACACATGCCGTAAAATGTTACTTTTGTTTACATTTTGTTACATTTGGTAAGATTTTTGTACGTGTGAATCGGGTATTAGACTCAAGTTCTATGTACTGTAGACAGACAACTGAGTGGTAAATTTTGGAGAAGTGGGACTGTAGGCCTAAATGACAAAAACATGACAATTTCTGGTAATCTGGGAAAACAGAATGTTTAAACAAATACTGTCTCAATGGAAATTTGATGACATATTATGTTATCATCCTTTTTAAATCGCCAATGTTTAAATTCAATTTTTTACAGGTTTTTTTTAGATTCTACTACAGATAATATCATTATAAGAAGCTTAGTCCTGTGTGTTTCATGCAAATTTTTTTCTCTTGTTGTTCCCCAGTTTCAATCGAATTTAATTTATAGGCTAATCTGTCAACCTGGGCAGTTTAAATTCCCAGACAGGAAGCTGTTTTTTATTCTGTCTGACAAGTCCACATTTTATTAAAAACATCAGCTAGGCATCTGATCAGAAAATGAGTTCTCTTTGAAAAGCCACTTATTATGCTAATGTAATAATTTCCTCCATAACTAAAATGTAGGATTTCCTAAAATCTCCACAACGAAGTAGAACCAATTCATAATCACACACAAACTTAACAGAAAACAGGGGGGTCAAATGATGTCATTAAAAAAAAAATTACAACAGGATTACAGGAAGAAGACCCTTAATTGTTTATGCATCAGAAGCAGACATCAACGAAGAAGTTCAGTATAAAAAAATTATATATGTTATCAGTCAGTTCAGTATAATAAATTGTAATTTTTATCAGTAAATTCAATTCAATACCTACAGTAATGACTAAACAAGCCACTATATAAAAATAAATCATATTACATAACATTTAGCTAAAAAAAAATGGACTGTTACAGGAATCGAACAAGCGACTTTCTGTGTATAATCCAAATGCCATTATACCATCTACAGCTCCCAAAGTACCCTCAATGGCAATATTTTTCTATTGCAATTACAGTATTTCTTTGCTCAAAGGTAAGGATTTAAGGATAACATTTTTTTCCACAATGTTAATTCAAGTAGATTGCTTTATTGATCTTCATATAAAATATTTATATTAAACTATTATGTCATAGTTGCCCTAGTTATATTACATAGTGTTATCTATTAATTGCCTTTTTTACTTAAATCCTAAATATTAATGTTTTATATTTATGATAATTTCATGTATGATGACTGCCCTAGTTACATTATAGATGATATAATCTATCGATTGCTTTTTTCACATGTTAATGAATGTTTAAAAAAGGTTAAAATCATCTATCATTAAAACAGGATAATTGCTTAGGGAAAGCTTGATCTGTTTAAAAATGACCGGTTACTAGGTCAAAATTGAAACATGAAACGACACTTGAAAACATTTCCTTGTGTTCTAATCAAAATCATAGTAATGCGCAATGGATTATTAACTAGGTAATTTTTCCCAAATTAAACATCTTTCAAATTTAAATTGTATCTTATTTTTAAGATGAACTCTATTACAATGGGGGTTTCCACTTAATAGTATACAAAACAAAATGTATTGTCAGATAAGTTTGTTCTTGTTTAAGGATAAAAAAAAAATGAAATACACAGGAAAACAATTCCTCCCATAACTGAATGGTAGGTAACAAAAGCAACTGTTTAAACAGGAAAGAGAAGTGATAATATTGTAGCAAATATAAAGCGGTCTTCTATTATCGACTGCATCGCTGATATTATTACCACCATCTGGTACAAGTTATGAACGCTTTAATAATGAGACCCTAAATTACATTCAGCTTTAATCGCAGATGGAGACGGAGGCAATTTTATGGATTCAAGAGCATGATGGGACAGTTGCTATATAAACAAGTCTATTTGACTAAGTAGCTCTACATACTTTAACTATCAACAATGGAATATTTACAATGATTACCAATATAATAATTACAAAGAATTCGTTGTTGTTTATTATACAGTACTTGAAAGAAGAGAATGGTAAAACGGTATAAAAATAATACATAGCCAGCAAAGAAATATTTATACTCAATATAAATATTGTATTAATGCATACTTATTATTTTTCAATCCATGATACAGAGTACAGTATACATTTGCCAGGAAAGGGAATAGGCAATTAGCTCAAAAAAAACAAATTTGTACTCTTTCCTGAGGATAAATGTAGACATTTTTTGCCAAAGGAAATGGGAAATTGGAGAAGCCAAATATTACTTTCATTATTATTTTTACAAATTTCAATTAGACAATCAACTTTGGTATTATATATTAATTATAATTATATTATATAAAAAGATTTAAACATTACTTCCATAATCCAATTAAGATTGTTGAGGTGCACATCACAATTAAAATATTAATATTAAATAATTGGTCGATAAAATGGTAATAAAATATTACTTAAAGTAATCATTTTGTGTGGAACTTAATATCAGATAATTTTAATATCAACATCATTCAACGACTTCAAGTATTTAAAAATGCATTATAGTTGGCAGTTATTAAATCAATCAATCATTCCACTTATATAACAGTACACCATTCATACAATCCGTGTTTGTGGCGCCACTCAGAACAGAATTTTAAAAAATACATCTTGTTATTAGTGACTTAAAGATGGTTGACTTGCTCATTTTGCAGTACTACTAAATTATTTACTTGAGCACAGAAATTACTGGATTTAAACATTTTCTACCCTGATTTTTATACTGGATACCGATAATACAAATAATAAGCACTTCCATTGTCTGGCAGTTTTTCCATCATTTTTCACAGTAAAATCATGGGTAAATATTTTTTTAAATACACTAATTTTCTATGTTCAATTTGGTAATTATTATGTTACTTCAAAATGAGCATGACAATTTTAAAAATGATTTTTTATAATTTTTGGGGATTTGGCATGGGACAATTCAATTCAATAATAACAGTTATTTCTCTTTTTCGTAAAGTAAAATGAAATGGCATAAAAAAATTAACATTAATTGGATAAAATTAAACTTACGTTTTTGAAGACCAGGTACTAATTTATATACTATATCTTGTATTGTTCTATCAAACCTAGAAATGAAAAATAATGTATAAATAAGCTTTAGAATGAACAGTAATAAGAAAATACACATGAAATATAAGCCATGTATAAAAAATTATACCAAGATTAATGCAGCAAAATTATGTGATATTAATTTACAGATACCACTGAACTGTGATTTCATTAGATAATTAATTAGGGATTACGTCGTGTGAACACGTAAACCAATCAATAGTACTAATTATTTATTTTATCTACTTTATTCTATATTAAGGATCATGGCTACAATGAACAAATCCCCATTGTTGTGCTCTAAGCCATGAAACAAAACCAAAATATCCTTGTTTTAAAAAAAATAATTCCGGCAGTAAAAACTCATAACAAAAACATGTTTTTAAAGTATTTGCTTACTCAGGCATGAATGCCTTACATTCATTCCTTGTAACAATATTGATTATCAATTTAACACATGTATTTACGTGGTCCTTGACCAAGTCATGAAGTTAGGTTTTATAAGTCTAGAGCAGTCAGCAGATATTATTCTCCTGAAGACAACTGAAGCAACTCAATAGAAACGTTGAGATATTCTCAACCAACAACAGTTCTTTTCAGAACTATCTACGTGGTGTACTGCAGCATTAATACTGTATATGTTATACTATGTTATTACATTGATTTACATCGCTTTGAATAAAACCCGCCACTCGAATAAACTCCCCCTCTAGAGCCTCAATTGGAATAAACGCCTCACTTGATTAAATGTCCCGAGATGTTTATTTTTTCCTTGAATAATCATCCTCTCCCATCCCCCCCCCCCCCCCACACCTTTCACAACTAAATGACTGTAAACAAATCTAATGGAAGCAACATCATTCTCAACATATTCTATGTTCTACTCCAGTAGAGTTACATTTTTTTTCTAATCTGGTTAGGATCAATTTATGATCACGCAGTAACATATTTTGATGGTAATTGTGTGTTGTATTTCCACATTTACAGTGAAAATAATATAAATGCCTTCCTCGAAATAAATGCCTTGCTTGAATAAACGCCCCTTCGACAACCCTTTTCAATAATAAACGGGGCATTTTTAAAAAAGTATGGTATGGTTGATTTATAGATTTAGGAGGACTGGTGATTTAAGTTTAATTCCATTATAAATCCAAAACAATTTTCTCTTATTATTAAAAACTAACAATAATAATAATAATAACATTAATAACAATAATAATAATAATAATAATAATAATAATAATAATAATAATAATAATAATAATGTCATCTTATAAATTGCCTGGTTAATATACAAGGAGGTATTATGTTCATCTTAAGTATTTGAAATGTGCGATTAGAAAATATTCAGCCACTGTGTTCCAGCCTTCAATTGAATCATTGCATTTTCAAAATTAGTTGAAATCTAACACCTTTTTAGTGTTTTTGTAACATGAGCACCTGCAGTAGAAATCACGAGTCACATCATGCATAAGGAAAAGTGTTTGCTTTAACAAAATATCCGCCCAAAGCAAGGTATTATTGTAAGGGAAATTTCTAGCCCAGGGCAAGGGGCTTTAAGTGTAGGAAATTCTCATTGGTTCAATCACTTGAAATCACATGTTGCCTCTAGCAAAATCCACTCTCCAAGCATGAACCCACAGGTACTTTTTTTTTTCGGTACTATTTCCTTCCATTTCTGATACAAGTTTTACTCAGGTAGGCCTTTCACTAAATTTTCCTGTGTTTGTGTAAAGTATATTTAGGCCATGTTTGTGTAATTGTACTATTAACATTAATACTACAAACTGAAAGGGATTCACAGCATTAATTAGCTTTGTGTATATAAGGGCAATTTTTCTCAAGACTTACAATACCAAGGAATGGAATGAACTTGATTGTATATTAAAGTATTATATGTTATATAATATCAGCATTCTCCCAATTTAAAAATTTTTACTGGTAAATTTGTCTATATAGAGCCAATGTGAAGTATTGCCAATTTTAAGTGGAGTTCAATGGCTTCAAAAAACAGTAATTTACATAATCATAGCCTAGGCATGGACTGGAATGATGTTCGTTTATTGAAAGAAGGCCAGTCTAGGCCACCTAGGTCTAATAAGTGCTTTTTTTATTCTACCAACATACAATTTTTACTGGTTAGTCAGTTAGTTTTACTAGTAAAATTGACAGCTAAAATGGCTTTGGGAGAACCTTGAATATTATTATATAGTATAGTATTATAATATTATCATTTGCCTGAAAGAAATTTAATTTATATATACATATATATATTATTACTATTACTAATTATTATAATTTGTTATTATTATGTAATTTTATGTGTTTTGTACTATACTTTATGTAAATTTTAAAAATTGTATTGGGGCCTAAAGATCACAAGTGTTTCTATTTTATATTGTGTGATTTGGTTGAATAAAGAATTTGGACATGCGTGATTATTCTTATTGTTCACTAACTATTTTTGTACAGTATATTTTTATTTTTTAAATATTTGTCTTTAAATATATAAGATATAGTATACTGTGTTCAGTTAAATAGACTTCAAAAATAATAATCAATATTTGTATTTTTACATCATTTAAGTTATTATCTATATTAATTTTTGATTAAAAATGTTAATAATGAATTGCTTAAATAGGATATTAGTTGCGAATTCAAAATGAGAATAAGAAAAAATTTTGCAATAACAGACACATAAATAATATTATTTATTCCTACTGTATATGTTTTTATATTTCATAAAAAATATTGTTTAAAATTTCATATATAATTTACCTTTAATAACCATTATTTGACAATTCATTAAATATTATAAATTTATAAATCAGACTGGAATCCATCCGAGGTCAAAAGACAGTTAATACATTTGCAATCAGTGTTGTAATAGAAATTTGTAATTTTTCACATAAAATAATTAATTTATATATACCCCATAAGTGTACAATTTGTGAGTACAGTAAAATCCCTTAGAATGAGAAAATATTTTTCAATAACGACAGACACATAAATAATATTAAAAAATCCTAAATATATTTTTTATTAGAAACATCAGATAATTTACCTTTAATAACCTTGATAATTTATTAGAAATTATTAATCTATAAATCAGACTAGAATCTATTAATATAATTCAAGAGGTCAAAAGATGGTTAATACATTTGCGATTAGTGTCGTAATAGAAATGTGTAATCATAATTAATAAGTAATTAGTACATTAGAAACATTAGTTTTAATTTCACATCGGATAATTTACCTTTAATAACCTTGATAATTTATTAGAAATTATTAATCTATAAATCAGACTAGAAACTATTAATATAATTCAAGAGGTCAAAAGATGGTTAATACATTTGCGATTAGTGTCGTAATAGAAATGTGTAATCATAATTAATAAGTAATTAGTACATGTTTGACATAAAATTAATCTTTACATATCCCGTAAGTGTACAATTTGTGTGTAAAATCACTTTATAGATATATCATGTGCAATTTCTTTTATTTTTTTTTTTCTATCAATGTTGCCAGCATTGATATTTACTGTATGTTCTATGCCGAATTCATTGAATATTTCTATTTATTCTTTTTTTTTTAAACTTTACACGAATGAATCAATAAAAATTTTATTACCGGTATCTGAAATAATATTGTATAATTGTCAATTCACACAAGACTGGATGTTTCAAGAGTAAAATGTAGGAAGCATCAATCTGTGAGAAAGTGCATCTGTGTAAAATTAGCACACGTTACTTGAATGTAAAATAAATAAAACTCAAATCATGTTCATGTAATGTACATGTTCGAAAAACAGATCGCAGGACTGCAATATGGCCTGAGATATTCCGGAGTGGATCTGTATGCTCAGTCACAGGATAGAGCTTATCTTTCTATGTGGTGTTTAGCATACTGTATCCTTCTCTCTGCTCGGCTAGTTAATCTTTTTCCATGATAAAATGTATTTATGACCATCTGTAGTGAATTATAATTGATCAAGTTCAAAATTAAAATCTAACTACAGTATTTGTATAATTTATGTTTATATTGAATGCAAAAGATGATGATGGACCCAGGAGAGCAATAGCAAACTACTGTAGGGGTAGGCCTTGAGAGACCATAAACTATTGGCAAAGGTTAATTCGCTACCTATGAACATAACAATGGTATCAGAAAGGTTATCTTTCTGTGCAATATTTAACACATGTAGTGGTGAATCTATAGGAGGTGCATGAGGAGCATGCCACCCCAAAAAAAATAGTTGCACCCTCCCTTCCCCAGTCTCACCTGCAGTAGAAATCACGAGTCACATCATGCATAAGGAAAAGTGTTTGCTTTAACAAAATATCCGCCCAAAGCAATGAACATAACAATGGTATCAGAAAGGTTATCTTTCTGTGCAATATTTAACACATGTAGTGGTGTATCTATAGGAGGTGCATGAGGAGCATGCCACCCCAAAAAAAATAGTTGCACCCTCCCTCCCCCAGTCTCCCCAAAAATCATGCTTAAGTAGTTAAAAATCACCTCAAATTATCTTATTTTGCAACATAAGCATCAAGCCCTCCCACTACACCTTAGTGCTCTCCCAATCAGCCAACACCCACCTCACCCCACCCCCCAGACTGTGCATACAAATTTAAATATAATATGTACTGCAAAATTGTACAGCCATTGACCATTAACCAATTTACTTTTCATTCTCTATAAATGTATTGGTTATTAATGGGTAATTTGCAATCTTCTCCCTTTCCCTTCCCCAAACAGTAATCTGTAAAAAGAGCTTTATCCATGGAGGAAAACTTTCAGGCATATCCTGTGGTTTGGCAGCCATTGGCAGGTGCACCCAATAATAATAAATGATCATCTCCCCAGGCTACCATCAATTTGTGTATAACATATAATGAGAAGAGAAAAAGAATATCTGTATCATAAGTAATGAAAGCTTGCATGATGTGTCTTTGTTTACATCATAAATACTGTAAGCTTCTCATACTGATGCTAGGCTGCGAATATTTGTATCTGTCTCTTATACACATCTAGATGTGTATAAGAGACAGATACTGTAGTGGTCCTTGTCCTTATATTACTATATATTGCTATCTACAGTGCCATAGTCGGATGGATGATTTTGGAATGAAACTGGTCTGTTGTACTGTAGGGGTCCCAACAGATCAATACTCGCTCATTCATACCGTCCCAACAGACCAATACCTGCTCATTCATAACTTTTTCATCCAATCCCTTTTCATATAAATTTATCCGAGTTAGCCACAACATACAGCCATAATACCGGCATTTGTTCGAACAGCAAGCCCGCCTATGGTTCTGGTGGTGGAACAAGTTTTCTCGAAAAAGCACACTATCAACCGTATGCCCAGTGTACACAATTTGATTTGGCTAGTGAGCACTTTAAATAACTCAGTACATCTTTCGAGTAGGGGGTTAACCCGGTGTACTGTCAGTCCATGCTCTGAACAAACTATCTGTACTTGGAAAAATTTCATCTAGTATAGTTGAATATACTGTGAAAGGTTCTATTCTATCTGTGTTTGGCAACAAGATTGGTCAAAGGTTCAGTATTCTTACTCGGTACAAAGCTTCATTATAAATAGTAAGGAAATTTAACATTCAAAATTTTATGTTAGTGATTTCGATGACAAGCATGAGTTTTTCAAAGATCTTCTTTGGTGCTGCCTAACTATTACATTTACCGGTATATAAAGATCACTCTGCAAATTGTATACTATCAGTAGATACATTTTCATGAAGCCAAAAAGCTCTAAAATGATCAAAAGCAACATTTCCAAGAATAATATGGTGGCATATATCATTTTCGCTATCTAAAATTGATTCAAGTACTTTATGTTTATGCCAGGTTTCTTCTTTAGAATTTACATAATCAATCTTTGCTGTGAGGTACACATGTGTAAACTCTGTTTTCATTTCATTTATGTACAAATTCCACTCACTAAATATCAATATATATTCTTCTAATTCCCATCCAAATGTTTTTTATATAGTCCCAGTCCTATCTCTATCACTCAATATAATTTTATCCAACCTCAACCTCAGGCCATCAGTATATTCATTCCATCCCACCCATGAATTACTGTATATTTCATCCACTCCCCATCCATCAATGTGATTTAATTCAATCCCTACCCATCAATTCAGAATCCACAGTTAGGATAATTTACTGCACAATATTAATTATTCCTAAACCTCGTCCACCACAATTCTGACACAAAAAGAAAGGCAGAGTTTTACTCTGTAAATTGTACTGTGACTGTTAATGTAAGATGAAGCGATGCCCCAGGTGCAGTTTACTGCCTACTGTACTAAATGATATGACTATTAAAATAACAATAACAGGACTTATAAATATCTTGAAATATACTGTTTTCACAATATCCACCAAATTAACACATTTCATTATGTTTTTATTTTATATAAAAGCAAAATAATTTCACCTCCATTCAGTTTGTATCTTATCTAATATTGCAAATTAAAAAAATAACATTATTTTTTGTTAGAATAGGCTAATCTAGATGTGAACATTATTAGGGCAGTTGTGACTTTTGATCTTGCCAACCACTGCCTACACTGGTTTTAATATCAATATAATAATGGTTCCACTGCAACAGTCTTTCGTTCGGCTTTTCCGCTTTTCTGGTTAATTTTAGGATGTAGTTTGTTTTTTTTTTATTCATTATTTGTTTTTTTTTAATCATTATTTGTTTTCTTTAATATTCATTATTTGTTTTCTTTAATTATAGACCATAGAGACAATTAATATTCGCTAGTATTTTAAATTTCATACCAAATTCCTCAGGTCCACTCTCGGGCATAAGCCCACATGGTAGCTTTTCAATAAGTTTAATGTCAAATGCCACACCCAATGCAACAACAAATCGCATCGGCTCTGTGTGACTTAAACGCTGATGCAATAGCTCTGTGTCAGGGACAATTGCATTGTTGTAGAATATTAAACTTGTTCAATATTCTCACAACGACCTCAAGATTGTCCCCGATGATATATTGCGTTAAGCTGCAGCATACGATGCTGTCTTAAGCTGGTTTTCCACTAGGCGAATTTGTTAGCGCGAATCGAAAGCGTTGGTTCATACGCATGCGCATTCACATTTCTATCAGGTTTTTGCGAAGCAAAAAAATGCGCAACCAATCAGAGCTCAGGAAGCGAACAGACACTTTTATTTGAGCGAATAAATTCGCTTAGTGGAAAACCACCTTAAGTTGGGTTTAAGAATACTCCCTAACATCAACATTTCCAAGACAATTCATAAGTATAATATGGTAAAAAAATCGCATTTGGGAGGGGGAACCCCCCTCTCAAACCCTTCTCCAAGCTCAAGCCTACGAGCTCAAGTCCCCCTGTCGGACAACTTAGTCCCCCAGAAAATATATCCTAGAGCCGCCACTGATGGTATTGATACTACATCTAGCTGGATAAAAACTGAGCCCAATGTAGGACTAACCTTTCAAATAGTAATACCATTTTATGGGCTTTTAAATGTTCATCAAAATCTTGTTTCCCCGCTTTTAAAATTGCGTTCATTGTTACGAACAGTTAGCAGCTTTATTTCAGTAGTAAATTAGCGTGTTGCGGACGATCCGCACATAAGGCAAACATGATTTGAACCAAAAATTGTATGCGCATAAGATTGTAATTTGCTATTTAAAGCCTTGTCTCATACTGTACACATGAATATAGTATACGGTACCTACTGGTATGTTTGGGTTTATTGCAGTTAGTGTACCTAATAGAATAACACACAGTGGCATTTTCAATTTGCATACATCCTATATAAAACTAATATTATATAATTGTTATTATTTATTCATATTTACTATACAATACACATCTGAACTTCATTATTTTATTATTAAACTGCATTTTTATATTGGCCAAAACTTAAGCAGCAATACTACATTTTGTTATGTTAATAATAAATATTGCCTACTAATTTCTTATCAGACCAAGTAAGAACTCATATTACAAAATTCTTAGCTTAAAATATCTTACTACAATCTATACCAAAAAAAAAAGATTCTAATACACTATTAGACGTAAAGGTTAGCCTCCTTTTTAATCAAGTAAATGAGACTGTGCATACAAATTTAAATATAATATGTACTGCAAAATTGTACAGCCATTGACCATTGACCAATTTACTTTTCATTCTCTATAAATGTATTGGTTATTAATGGGTAATTTGCAATCTTCTCCCTTTCCCTTCCCCAAACAGTAATCTGTAAAAAGAGCTTTATCCATGGAGGAAAGCTTTCAGGCATATCCTGTGGTTTGGCAGCCATTGGCAGGTGCACCCAATAATAATAAATGATCATCTCCCCAGGCTACCATCAATTTGTGTATAACATATAATGAGAAGAGAAAAAGAATATCTGTATCATAAGTAATGAAAGCTTGCATGATGTGTCTTTGTTTACATCATAAATACTGTAAGCTTCTCATACTGATGCTAGGCTGCGAATATTTGTATCATTGTCACTCAACCTGTAATTGGAATTTGACTTCCAAATTGAAACAAGAGATATATTTGAACGTAATTATGACGGACTACTAAGGTATCAGATTTTTAAGGTAGAAGAGAAATGATTTTTTAGATGCAGTTAGGCCATTAGCACAAAAAAAGATGTAATTTAATTTAAAGTTTAAGATGCATTATCAGTCAAAAAGCAAGAAAATATCTCAAAAATTCAAATGAAATTTTGAATAAAGCTCATTTGAAAGGATCGAATAAATTATTCTTAGCTTCGAAGGAGAAACAAAAAACGGTGTCTTTACCAATTTACAGATTTACAGGAAAGCAATTATTAACTGGACATTGACGGGGGAATTATTTTTTTTTAAATTTCTAATATTTTTATGTTAAGTTATAGCTTACTTAAATATACAAATTAAGCAATTCAAATGTAAAATGTAGCTCATCTGTGAGATGAGCTACAAAAAGCATTACAAATACATAATTCAATATTAATGTAATACATGCACAAATAAATAATGTCATTCATATAGACTTTTAAATTGCAAGAAAATCAATTTAAGGATTTTTGTTGAAAAAGGTCTTTAACTCAGAGAAATTTGAGTATTCTTTTAAATGAGTGAATACATTTACTCTATCCAGATAACTAATACTATACTCATAAATATGGTACTTATGGTAATTGATTCAATAATTATCCATTGATAACTAACAACCAAACCAAAATGTCATTGAAGAAAATTAAGACTAAATATCATTTCAACCAGGTTTGTTTATGTACCTATCCAATGGCAATGTATAGCACTATACTTGATTATTTGTTGAGTTTCATGATTGCTTATTGTTTAGCAAATACAGACGCTAAACAAAATTTCATTATCCAAATGTGAATTCAAATCAGGTATATTTATTTCTTTTAAATACAACCATACATTTCACATCATAATTACAATGATAATGAAACGCAAGCCTAGGGTCATGGAACATGATACTGCAAGGTGAAAATAATAAAGGATAACATTCAATTTAACCATTTTGTGCATAAAGGTGCACAATTGAATCAGTGGCAGCTTAGTCCAGGTGACTAAACTTGTGGTAGCGACTGTGTGTGCGCTACACCTCAGAGACCTCTTGGTCCCCAGTTCAATTCTATCCACTGCTCTCCTTGTGTTACAACTCTAGGGTGGAAATAAAAAAGCGCTCTATCTTTCGGATGAGACGTTCATGCCGTTGGTCATGTGTGCATTATCAGCTGATGGGCTTAAAATAAAAAGTACATCGTCTTTCGGATGAAACAATTAAGCTGTTGGTCCTGTGTGCAAAATAGCTGACAAATTTTGTTTTCATATGCATGAAAGGGGAAAAAAAACCAAAACAACAACAATATTGTCGCAGGAATTACTTCAGGGAAAAACTACCTAGTAGTACAGTACAACAATTAACATACTATCAACAACAGGAAAGCATTAAATACAAGGATACCAGAACCACTTGCATATTACAATACTGGTACCTGTGCATACAGTTGTTTCTTTTAATCACAGACAGGAAATGACATACTTAACAGTAGCATACTTAAAACAATTCTATGAACTACATATGTAAACTAAATCCTTGTTATTATTAAATCATAAATAGATTTTAAAAATATGGCTTAAAAAAGAATTAAGTAAATTCACCTGGTTTTGTAGCTAATAAAGTAAAACCATCATGTTATCAAAAAATGCTACATCAATCACAATTGGTTTTTCTATATTTTATGATATTACCCAAATTCATTGTTTTAAGATGGAGTCACTTTATCATGCTAAACATGTGCTATACTATATTGTCACATCATTTTCTAAACTAAGTATTTTTTATCTGTTTATGTAGTAGAATAGTGAAGGAAACATAAAATACACTTTACAGTGCTCATTCCGGGACATGCTGTTAGTGTTAAAAAATTGATTTATGTTTAATAAAGTATTGTCTTATACTTCTCCATGCACCAGGAAGGACAATCTCATATACTGTAATGAATTAGACGAGAAATTGTACACCTTGTTTTGCAGACTTTCAAATAAAAACTTTTATTTTTGGCCTGTTTACACCCATCTCCATGAAAAAATTGAAATTTCAGAGGGGAGAGACAGAATTTTCCAATAAATAATCTAGCTTCCTCACAATATATTAATAATCCAATTATTAACCACAAGAATGGGATACTACATGTTGACAGCCCTATATGACTTTTAACATGAATTAAACGACCATTTCTATATGGTTTAAAACCTTTTATTTTTTATCATTCTTCCAATTAGCATAACTAAGGCTCCTTACGAGTTACTGTACAGTATGATGAGCATGATTTATAAAATTTCTATCATACAATCTTAATGAATATTTATGAGAATGATTTTGTTATTGATATTCAACACTGCAGAGTCAGTATTTACGTTGACTGTCTTATGAATTATTCATGAATTGTACAGTACAACACAATTTGCAAAGCTACTGACTGTTAATCTGCAAATTAGGTTAATACTAACCGCACACACAATACACAAAGTACTCCTCTGATACAACAAAGCTAGATTATCCAACTTGTATAAAGTACTATTTAAAATAATCATTTTCAGTTAATCAGTTCACTTTCTTCTGAATTAATTAGTGTATTCACAGCAAAAGGTAACAAATTGTAAAAAGGAATTTGTCTTTGCCTCATTCATGGCTCATATCAAGATAGATAGGCATGATGTGCAAAGTAAAAAAAAAAAGTAGATTTTTGTCAAGCCATGGTGCTCATATTATGGGTTGGAGTAGCGTTAGATAGATAAGAGTGTGTAATGCTCCCGCTGGGTAGGATGCTGGTCCACTGCAGGTTACGCCAAGCAATTTGCTGGTACCTATTGATAGAGTTGGGTAGAATGAAGCAATGTAGATAAAGTGCTTGCTCTAGGACACAAGCAAAAGGCACAGCGAAGGTTTGAAACTTCAACCTCAAGTTTGGGAAACCATTGCCACTTCTCCAAACCACCTCCACAATTATAGTGCAAGTTAACTATATAATCCGATAAGAGCTCTCTCTCTGTCAACTACGGCATATTTTTTCTTGTAGATGTGTATAAGAGACAGCAATTGAATCAGTGGCAGCTTAGTCCAGGTGACTAAACTTGTGGTAGCGACTGTGTGTGCGCTACACCTCAGAGACCTCTTGGTCCCCAGTTCAATTCTATCCACTGCTCTCCTTGTGTTACAACTCTAGGGTGGAAATAAAAAAGCGCTCTATATTTAAGATACCAGCAATTTTATAGGTGTTCATCTTATTCTACGTACCATATTAAAACCAACAGTAAATTTTGGTTTAAATAATTTATCATTACTTATGAATTTGTAACAATAACAATCATCACTAAATGCAACATTGTGTGTCTTATCATTTAACAATTATAATATAAATGAAATATAATCAATAAATAATATAATCAATAAATGATCAAATATAATTCATGTAATCAAATATTAAATAATCAATTAATATCTAATCAAATATATTTAATATGTAATTAATAATCAACAATACTTAATGCAGTATAATTTAATTCATAATCAAATATATAATGGATAATGAAATACATAATCGATTGAAATTAAATTTAACAATGCATATCAATAATCACCATATACTTACAGGTGTGTAAGCACTCTGTTATTGTGGTAGCATCAATAAGATAACCATTGCATAACCGACAAGTGATTTGTTCGTTAATATCCCGAAGAAGAATACGCTGATGACCAAGCTGCATAAATAAACAAAAACATCATCTTATTAATCATTTATTTGCATGACAGGTCATGTCTGAATATTGTACAATAGAACATAAACAAAACCATATTATAAAAATGTATTAATTAAATAAATGCTAATTATCAATTAAATCACTCAAATACAAGATTTAAATAACATCACAATGAAGCAGATCAATTTTATGGCAACCTAGAAATATTAAACAGAATTGATTTTTATTCAATATAATTTTTTAATTCATAATATAATGTGGGCAATTGTAAAAGAGCTCTATCTATATTCTAAGTTTGTGGTATTTCAATAATCAATGTTTCATCAATTTAGTGTATCATAACCATAATGAATCATTGTACTTGTTTCTCATTCCTTGATTACTTCATTTTTATTATTCAGACTGAAGGCCAAAAGGAAGACTATGCAAAGGTGAAGCTGGTTGAAGCATGGAGGTATAAAATTTTTATACCTCCATGGTTGAAGCCATGATGAAGCCCATGGGTTGTTGGCCATCACAATATAAAACTAATTAACGAGCCACTTCACTAGCTTAACCATACTCCAAAAGTAGAAAATCACAAATTAAGTTCTTAGGCAGCCTATAATGTGCAGAATTCTATGACTGAACTTAACTCACTTATCTCTTTTGTTAAATCTTTAAATACTTGAATATGTGGGTAGCTCAGGCATTCAGTCTTGGTAATCCAGTTAATGATATATGCTTGAAATGATCAGTAAAATGTACTGAATTTATTAGGTATTTTGATGTATTGGTTGATTGAAAGATTTGGGTTGGATTGACAGCTCACTTATAGCAGTCGTCTTTTAAATTAATGGTCTTTACCATCTGTAGGCTGTTTCATGCTGGGGGTGCAAAAATTGAAAAGGCGCAACTGGAGGAGGGGTGTGAAAATTTAGTGGAACTAAATCACTTTTCCAATGAAAATGGTCATTTAGTATTTTAACTTAGCAGATTTAAATTGCTGCCTTGGGTGGGAGGGGGAAAACACCCATGCTTCATATACTGGAATAAACAATCGTGGTAATAAACATTTATTATTAAAACTTGCATGTTCTATTTACATTTACTAATAATATGATATTAATACCAATATTTTCCATTCAGAAGTTATTGAAATGAAAAAGCTGAAATCCTTGACTATAAACTGACAAATTTCATCATGATATAAATTAATTACAAGGCAGCAGATGAGTTAATCACCACTCGTACAATATAAACCTCAGTTGATTTCAAATTTTAATAAATTAAAATGCTGATTTGCACAAAATACTATAATTAGCGTTCTCCCAATAAGAAACTTATTTTAATAATTATTAAACACATACAGTAGTGTCATTCAAGGCGTGTAGCAGCATGGAGGGTATTTGGAAGGGAATCTACCTAAAATACACCACAGTAGGTACAGCAAGATACAGTACTATAGGCTACAGCTCACACCTAAAAACTAACAGTATTAAAAGTGAAATTGTTTATTATTTAGTTTTCAAAGTCTGGTTGGGGAGCCTTTATTCTGACAAGAAAATTCTGGCAAATCCGGCTTTGGTAGAAAACTGTTAATTGATGAACTATGTCCTACTTCAATAACACATTATCTATGTGCTATATATTTTAATTTAATATAAGGGATTACATTTTTTGTCTAGTATATAGTTATTAATATCCTTTAGAATACTTGTAATAGTGAGAAAGCAATAAAACCCATTGATTATAGTCAATGGGTTGCTGAATGTTCAGAACTATAAACATTATATTTATTCAGCTATTTATAGAACTACAAATACAGCAGAGATTGAATGTACAATTAATGGTAGCTGTATCTGTTGAACTATGAACGGTTAAATGGATAATGGATTCGCAACATAAAAAGGTGTTTGAAACAGACTCGGAGTTCATATTACAAGAATGGGATTGTGTATACTGCCTATACAACCTACATAAACCAACTGTGCCCACATGCAGATAGGCCGGGAGCATTGATTATAAACTACAGTATTCTCAATGATTGCTGGTTCTATTTCTTTATGCTCCATTTTGTGGCACTCGAGTTAAGACCATCTTATATTCCATTTAAAAGAGGTTAATATTTCCAGTACAGGTCTCTCTCTAATTAAAGACCACTTTTGGGACCAGGGTTCCCTTGGTCTTCAGCAGCTTTGGTCTCTAATTAGAATATAGATAATAGGCATTTGTTAATATGGGACCACAGAAAAGTGGTCTTTAGAGGTGGTCTTTAATTGGAGATGTCTTTAATTAGAGGAAGACCTGTAGTTCCAAACATGATTACCTAATTTGTAAAAATTCTTAATTGGATCCGACATTATTTTATTTATTGAAATTTTCTTCATCATTAATACCGTACTCTTCTTAATGAATTTATATTTCATAAATTTTTTTGAAAATTATTATTATAGTTTTTGGTCCAACGACCTAGTTGTGGCATCAGGCGACAGGCGGGTCCAGGCCTGTCCAACAGGGTGGCAAATTACTACTAAGTTACCCTTCTACCTGTAGACTGAACACTGAGACCACCCACATTTTCAGGTGGGTTCAAAATGCAGAATATATGTTTTACAGAAATAAACAATAATTAAGGGGTCCTCCATAATTTTAAACATTTTCATAAAAGTACAAAACTTCTCTGTGACCTCCCTCCCAGACCTGAAAGAATACACAATAAAATGTTCAAAAAAATAAAAACCCCTCCTTCAGACACATCGGACCCCTTGTCGGCAAATTTCTGGCACCACCGCTGGGGTAGTTGTGTGCTAAAAGATTGGGACATGATCTTGGTATTACAGGTCTTAAATTGAAGTTTAAAGTATAATTTTACTATTAATAAATTTAAGATATTTTCTGAAGGGTTTCTTTCACTTTTTCTTATGATTTGTAACTTTGTACATTTCTATTTATAATTTATTTATTGTTTTATGTTTCAATTCTGTTGATAGCACTTTCATTGGTATCAATGGATGAATAACAAAAAAAAAAATACAAAGTTACAATATATATAATAGCCAAAGCTGTGGTAGTCTAGTATTTGAATGTACACATTTTAGTTGATATGATATCATCATATAAGTTTTCCTAAGTCTTCCTAGCAATTTAGCTGGCTATAATGGTAATTGCCTTCCATTTTTATAGCGCATACAACAGTGAAATTTCTCTGTGTGCTCTTTTACCCAGTGTCAAGACAAAAGAAAGAAAACAACATAAAACAAGAAAAAAAAAGACTAGAATTGTGAAAAAAAAGACTTGTGCACTCTAAATGTTCCTTTTAGTCATGAGGTAAGAGTCAATTGACTGGACTTGAATCCAACTCGCAGATTATAAAACCCAGAAATGCATACTGTATGTTGCTCACACCATGGAGGTATAAATACCTCTATGCTCAAACAAATGATTTTCAAGTGAATGACACTAGCCAACTGTACATGTTTGCATGCAAACAATCAGACATGGTGGCTTTTGTTACAGCTGAAATGAGTAAGCTATTCTTAATGTGTACAGTAGATGTGTAATTAGAAAGCACTATGATACAGGCTATAGCTAGTCCTTGGTTATTAAAAAAATTTTCATTTTGTAAATATTTATTATTAGAATAATGACAATTAAAAAAATAGAAACAGTACTTATTCTTAATATGTTAAATGTCAATAAAAATTAAGGTTGAGAGACTCTATTAAGTATGTACTGAGGCAATTCTCCAAAAGTCCTTCTGTTGAAAGTGAATTAAAATAAAATAAAACACTTTTTTTTATCATTCTAAATTTATTCTTTCAAATTTTGTCACCACTACAGTATGTTTTCATAAGATCATAGATAATTCTCAGAGATTTTCTGCTATTCATATGTTTATAAAGTCAAAATTGACACCGAGAGCTGTGGGCAATATATCTGGAATGGAGAAAATACCTGTTTGTTTAGCTTTTTGTTTGCAATGTGTATATAAATTGATGAACTCAGCCAGTCAACAAAAATAAATTAACTCAATAAGCCGGGATAATACTCCATTCTAAAAATACTTACTGACAATGGACCTGGGTCATGGGGATGGTGCATCCTAAGGTGTCAAGGGCAGAGTGGTTATGATGGTTTCATGCATTCTAAATAAGACATCTTGCTTATTAGCCAATTTTTATATATCATTTCTGGCAACAACAAATATGTGCCAGAAATAGTAACAAAATTATAAATCTGATAAAAATTGGCAGGATACCGTAAAACCTCAAATTGAAGCCCTGGGTTTTTTTTTGGTTTTGTTTTTTTTTGCGAACTTTGGATGGGCTTATTTTTTAGGCTACTTTTGCAAAGTAAAGAATGGGGGGCTTCTTTTCAAAATGAAAGCTGAGAATTTTTGAAATTTGTATTATAAAACATTAATTAAGGCCACTGTAACATCAATCTGTATCATGGAGTGCATTAACTGGCAGTAAATCACCTAAATTTCTGTATAAACCAAGCTTTTTTTTATTTTGTTTTTTGAAATTCATGTACAGTGTATGTGCTATACTATTTCGGACAGAAGCCAATGCTATCTTGAAAAGAATCCCATGGGCTTCTTTTCGAGGCTAATTTTGTTTCTCGAGAAGATGGGCTTCAATTCTAAGTTTTAGGGTATATTGTTTAAGGCTGAAATATTCAGTACTTCAAGTAGCTGCAAGATATTTTGTGTGTATAATGCACATGATAATTTCAATTTCAGACTGAAAGACTCAGTGCTTCACCAAGTAGCTGCAATTTTTTTTTTGTGCATAATGCACATGGTATGTTAAATTTGCAAATGGTAGTACCAAAAAAAAAATAGGGGTGTGTGCATAGTGAGAATTTAAAGTACATGTAGGTCTTAATTGCTGAGTTCTATCGTTAATTGCTCATTTGCATAAAGCTCTATCCAGACTATGAAAATTTCTATTTGACAAAACATGTGACATGCCTAAATATGGTCATCACATCATGACCATATATAGGCACATCAT